GGGGCGGGGGGGGGGCGCGGCGCGGGGGGGGGCGGGGGGGGGGGGCGGGGGGGGGGCGGGCGGGCCCCGGCGGGGGGGGGGGGTGCCGAGGGGGGGGGGGGGTGGGGGGGGGGACACCGGGCCCGTCTCGAGCAGCTCCGGGGCTCACGGGAGGGGGGGATGCGGGAGGGGGCGCGGATGCGGCGGCGGCGGCACCGGGACCCCCCCGCCGCCCCCGGGCGCGGATTGGCGGCGGCGGGGGCGCAGGGCGGGGCCGGCCCGGTGGAGCCATGACGTCACCGCCGCCGCCGGTCCCGCCCCGGCCCCGGTCCCGCCCCGGTCCCGGTCCCAGCCCCGGTCCCAGCCCCGGCCATGCCGCCCCGGCCCCGCCGTAGCCCCCGGTGAGTCCGGTCGCGCCGCGGCGGGGGGCGGGCGGGGGTCCGGGGGGGGTTCCGGCAGCTCCTCGGGGCACCGGCGGGGGGGGGTCCGTGGCCTCCGGGCACCGGGACGTGCCGGGAGGGGTTGGGGGGCGACCCCAGGGAAGCGGCGCGGGGTGGCCCGGTCGGAGCCCCCCGCATGTCCCCGGTGCCCCCCGGTGCATCCCGGTTGTGTCCTCGGCTCTCCCCGCTGTCCCCACTGTCCCCAGTGCATGCTGGGGTGTCCCCAGTGCCCCCAGTGCTTCCCGGCTGTCCCTGGGGTGTTCCCAATGTCCCCAGTGCATCCCGGCTGTCCCCAGTGCATCCTGACTGTCCCTGGGATGTCCCCAATGTCCCCACTGCACCCTGGCTGTCCCTGGGGTGTTCCCAATGTCCCCAGAGCATCCCGGCTGTCCCCACTGTCCCCAGTGCATCCTGACTGTCCCTGGGGTGTCCCCAGTGTCCCCACTGCATCCTGACTGTCCCCAGTGTCCCCACTGCATTCTGGCTGTCCCTGGGGTGTTCCAGTGCATCCCGACTTTCCCTGGGGTGTCCCTGGTGCATCCTGGCTGTTCCCGGTATGTCCCCAGTGCATCCCGGTGTCCCTGGGATGTCCCCCACTGTCCTCCATCCCACCTGCTGGTCCCCACTGTCCCCAGTACACCCCAGCTGTCCCCTGCGTGTGTCTCTGCTGTCCCCACTGCATCCCTGACCGTCCCCAGTGCTGCCACCGCATCCCTGGCTGTCCCTGCGTGTCCCTGGCGAGTCCCAGCTGTCCTCGATATGTCCCTGCACCCCGAGGCTGTATCTCTAGCACATCCCACTTGTCCCCGGTGTATCCCTGCTGTCCCCAGGGTGTCCTTGCTGTCCCTGGGCTGTCCCTGGGCTGTCCCCGGGCTGTCCCCAGTGTGTCCTGGCTGCCCCCAGAGCAGCCCAGCAGGGCTGGGGACACTCAGGGATGTCACCACACGTCCCTGGGCTGTCCCCAAAGCAGCCCAGCAGGGCTGGGGACACTCAGGGCTGTCACCCCATGTCCCTGGGCTCGGGGTGGGGACCCTGGTGTGGGGTAGCCCAGGGCCAGCCCGTCAGGGCCACGCTGGTGTGTCCTCGGCCGCGGTTTGGGCACGTGCCCTGTCCCCACACCGTGTCCCCACAGTGCCCGGGGCAGTGGGGACGAGTGACTGGAGTGTGTGTGGGGGGGGTGACACCGGGGAGGGGACCTGAGCTCTGGGTGCCCTCGGCTGTCCCCGAGCCGTGTCCCCCTCCTCACAGGGACCCTCGCGCTGCCCCCGCGGGGCCCCACGCTGGGGGAGGGGACGGCCGCGCCGTCCATCTGTCGGGGCCCCCCCGGCTGTCCCCGCCGGGGGCTTGGGGGGGCCGCGGGCTGCTCTTCCCCTCCAGACGGAGCCTCACTTCCCCCCGTGACGCAGCCGGAGCCGCCGGCCCCGGGGCCGCTTCCTGCGCGGGGGGCGGGCGAGGGGCCCACGGGCACCTCGGGGACAATGGGGACCACGGGCACCCGCATGGGATCACCCCGCGGGCTGCAGGGGACAGGGACAGCACGTGAGAAGCATGGCCGTGCCCTCCCAGACCCTCTTCTTGTCCCCTCCATCACCCCCAGATCCTCTTCTTGTCCCCTCCATCAGCCCCCCCAGACCCTCCTCTTGTCCCCTCCGGCCCCCCCTGTCCTGCCGAGCCCCCCACGCCGCGGTGCCGTGGGGTCCGGGTGAGCCGGGGCCGCGTGGCCCCATGTGAACCCCGAACCCCCCCAAACCTCACCCGCGTGGGGTGGGGGGTGGCGGCCACGTCCGGGGTTCACGGCCCGGCTCCGCTTGCAGCCCCGGGGGGCTCCCCGAGGGGTCCCCGGCTCCGGGGGGTCCCTCCCGAGGGTGCAGACTTCCCCGGGGGGGGTCCCTCCGTGGGGTGCCCGGTCCCCCCCGGCCGTGCCCGGTGCCGCAGGGGGATTCCCGGTGCTCCCTCTCGCGGGCCGGTGCCCGGTGTCCCGGGGGTCCCCGCGCCGGTTCCCCGGGGTTGGCGCTGGCGGAGCCGCGCACCGGGGGCGGCGGCGGCTCATCCCCGGCTCCTCCCCGGCCGCGGCGGGAAGGCGGAGCCGCCGCCGCCGCCTCCCAACAATAGCGCGGCCGGGCCGGGCCGGGATGGAGCCGCTGCTGCCGCCGGGACCGGCCCCGGGGCCGCGCTGAGCCGGCACGGGCGGCACCACCGGGAGCTCCGGGCGTGAGTGCGGGGCCGGGGCTCAGCGCGGGGCCGCAGCGGCACCGGCGGCGGGGGGAGCCCCGGGGGGAGCGCGGGGTGTGCGGTACCGGGAAGGGGGGCCCGTCTGCACGCCGGCGGCTCTGTGCACCGGGTCTGCGCATCGCGGTGCCCCGGGGCCGCCGGGGTCAGCCCCGGCCCGGGGGTGCTGCACATTCCGGTGCCCCGGGGCCGGTGCCGATCCCGGTCCCGGTGGTGCTGCGCATCCCTGTGCCCCGGTGGCGGGGCCGGAGCCGGTCTCGGGGGCGCTGCGCATGCCGGTGCCCCGGGGCTAGTCCTGATCCCGGTCCTGGGAGTCCTGCGCATCCCGGTGCCCCGGGGCTGGTCCCGGTCCCGCTCCCGGGGGTGCTGTGCTTTCCCGTGCCGGCCCAGGGCCCTCGCACCCCCAGAAAGGGGCTGGGTGGCAGGAGGGCTCCCTGTGGCTCCCAGTGCCGGTGGGGTCAGGACTCGGCCCTGGGGGTCTCCTGAGGCCTCGTCCCACCCCCCTCAGCCCTATTTTCCCGGCAGGTGACACCACGGAGGGACAGGGCTGGGGAAATCCCGAGCCAGGTAAGGGGGGTCTCTGCTGCGCAGGGTCTGGGGGTGCCACGGGCCGGAGGACACTGGCCAGGGCCAGCAGGGGCCCTCCTGATGCGTGTCCCCTGCAGCAGCGATGTCGGAGAGCGTGGCCGAGGCACCGGGAGCCGGGAGCCCCACGGCCCTGGGCGAGACGGGCACCAGCCATGAGCTGCTGCAGCGGCTGCGGGAGCTGGAGGTACACGGGGATGGGACCACCGGGGCACGGGACCACCAGGCAGCCATGGCTGGTGCCACCAGGCAGCCATGGCCACCATGAAACCGTGGCCACCATGCAGCTGGTGCCAAGAACCAGCCGTGGACCCCACAGCCCGGGCACTGCGGTGATGGGCAGCGCTTTCCATGGCCCTTGTGTGCCACTGCTCCGGGGTCAGCTCTGCCCCTCTATGAGTGGCTCTGGGTCCCACCAGGAAGAGGAGGAGGGGTCCTCTTGGTACCACGGGGGGGTCCAGGTGCACGGGCCCCTCCACTGCATCCCCTGAACTGTCCCTGCTCTGTCCCAGGCAGAGAACTCGGCCCTGGCCCAGGCCAACGAGAACCAGAGGGAGACGTACGAGCGCTGCCTGGACGAGGTACGGGGACACAGGGACACACACACGTGTGGGACACGTGTGCACACGTGTGTGCCAGGGCAGCGGGCTGTGTGTGCCCTCCCACCCCACCCAAACCCCCCTCTGCTCCCCAGGTCGCCAACCACGTGGTGCAGGCACTGCTCAACCAAAAGGTGGGTGTCAGGAGGGCCAGGGAGGGTGTTGTGGGTCTGGGGGGAATGCTGGGGGTCTGGGGGGGATGTTGGGAGTCTGAGGGGTCCTTTCTAACCTCCCCACCCCCCTGCCCTGGCCAGGACCTGCGTGAGGAGTGCATCAAGCTGAAGAAACGGGTGTTCGAGCTGGAGCGGCAGAACCAGGCGCTGAGCGACCTGTTCCAGCAGAAGCTGCACCTCTCAACCGGGTCCCTGCCCCAGGTGTGCCTGGGGCCACGTTGGAGCTGGGGGGGCCACAGGGCAGAGCCCCACCAGAGCTTAACCCACCGTCTCCCTCCTCTCCAGCTGCCGCTGCACCCGGTGCCAGTGCCCCTGGACGCCCCCGTCACCCCCCAGCCATGTTCTGCAGAGCAGCCGCCCCCCCCGCTGCCCCCCGGTCTCTGTGTGCCCCTGCCCGAGGTGGGTATCAGTGTCTGCAACCCCCCCTGTCCCTGTGTCCCCTTCTCTGGGCTGTGGCACCCCCTCCCCTTTCCCTCTTCCCAGTGTCTGCTGTCCCTAAGCTTGTGGGACCCCATTTCCGAGGCCCACGGCGTCCTCTCCTTCCCTCTCCCTGGATCCTGGGTGTCCCCACCCACGTGCCTGTGGCATCACCCTTTCTGTGGTGTCCCTGTCCCCGTTGTGTCCCCATCCCAAAGCCCATCACGTCCCTCTCCGTGTCCCCAGGGTGTCCCCCTGGTGCCGGGGGGGTTCAGTGCCGGGTGCCCACGGGGTGACGGTGCCCGTCCCCCGCAGGTGCTGCCGCCGGTGCCGTCGGGCAGCCCCGGGCTCAGCCCCGGTGCCCCCCCTCTGGACGCCCTGTCCCCCTTCTTCAAGAAAAAAGCCCAAATCCTGGAGGTGCTGCGCAAGCTGGAGG